TCTATCACTAGAAATGATTTGCCTTGCACCAAAGTGGGTTCTTCAGAAAAGGGAAAAGTGAGAAGGTGGAGATATGACTGTAGGGCAGATTGGGAAGATATCCCAACAGGAATAGATAACAGAAGGTAACAGAAGTGTCTATGCCAGCAGCCAACTGCCACTGAGCCAAAGAGCAGTGATGCCAATGTCTCAAAGTTCCTTAGGTAAAATAGAAAAGGAGTGATATCGCCACCTGTCCCAGCCTGAACACTGGCCACTGTGATGGCAGGGAGCTAAGTAAGTTTAGTGTTCCCCAAGACCAGGACAGTGTGAGACACTCATGAGCAGCCTTCAAAGAGATAGGAGATGCAAATGCTGTCACCTCAGGAATAACACCTGCAGAGAGTATTCAAGGGCAACAGCTACTATGGTAGCACTTCAGAGACGCGATTTGCTGAGATCCCAGGGACTCTTGTATTCCACGAGCTTCTGACATACCTAATGTAAAATTTTGCCTGAACAGAGGGCCCCACAATCCAGAACTATGTTACTAAGTTTGCCTAGTTTGACTAATGCTGCTGGCCTCTGTATTATTCAAGTTTCTCCAGAGACACAAAAACAGTAATACATGTCATATCATATATATGTATATATTTGTTATCAATAATTTATCAGTGTGTATACTGACACTTTTTCCTATTGTACATATCCTACCATATATTGATATGCTTATTTATATACATCAAGTCCCTAACTTATGAACAAGTTCTACTCTGGGAGAACATTTATAAGACAGATTTGTTCATAAGTCCAACAAAGTGAGTCTTACACACCTTTGACATAAATACACAATATAAAGCATCAAAAAACCACGCAAAAATACTGTATGCTATTGCACTGTACAACAAGCACACAGCAGCAAAACTGTGACAATGCCTGGCAGACACATGAGCTACTTCTGTGATTTGTTTGCATCCACCGATATTCCAGATGTGAGGTCCATTTACACCTGTCAACGTTCAAAACTTGAACTTATGAAGTGGGGGACTTACTGTGTATTATACAAGTATGAGCCATGTATATTTTACAAGTAGGTTTTATATATTGTGTAAGTATGCATTTGATTTTATATATGTGCTTAGATTCTATGTTGATACACTTATTGGGAAGGATGCATTATAAGAATCAGCTCACACAGTCGTGGAGGCCAAGTCCCACCATACTGTCTGAAGCTGAAGACTCAGGAAAATCTATGGTGTGAGGCAGGGGCCTACAGCAGAGGGGTGGGGCACTATAGTTCCCAGTCTGAGGACAGGAAAAGTCTGATGTCTCAGCTTAATCAGTCAGGCAGCGAAGGGGCAAATTCCCCCTTCCTCCAACTTTTGGTTATTCAGGCCCTCAGTGGATTGAGTGATGCCTACCTGCACAGAGAAAGGATCTGCTTTACTAAGTCCCCCAATCCAAATGTTAATCTCATCCCCAAACGCCCTCACAGACACACCCAGAAATAATATTTACCAAGTAACTCACTGGGTCAGTTAGAGTGACAAACCATTATTCATCACCACTTCCTTCTGTACACATGGGTGTTTAGGAGCCCTCAAAGGCCCAGTCCATCTCACAGAATCAGAAAACGTTATAGCTGAGAAGATTCATTGGTGGCATGGCCAGAGGGGCAGAGAGAGCTGTATGGGAGCAGACATCCTAATTCCTTTATAGGCTGGAACACATCATTCAAGGTCTCTGAATCTCCTCGCTTGCTGTAGCTGGACCTCAGAATCACCCGAGGAGCCATGGTAATCCTGAACTCTACCTCTGACTAACTGACCTCCTAATTCAAAGTTGTGGAAGGCTGGGCTCTGCAGCCTTGATGTCTGTGAAGCTGCCAGGTGACTCTGAGTCACCATCCAGTGGAGTTCAGCCTGACTGCATCTTATCACACTGACTTTCCCATTGCCCTGATGTGCCCAGGGGACCTTCCCAGGGCCAGAGCATTTCCATGTCTCCGCCACAGTTACCTACAGTTCTCTATGGGCCTTGTCTCAGGAAATCAGCCTGGCTGATTAAAGTGCTTCTGGGCATCATTTCCAGCCATTCCTTTCTTCTTCCCTCTTTTTGGGTGGTTTATCACAGCTCTGAAGCTCATGGTGGGGAAGGCATAAGTGCTCTGCCCCACCTTTGCTACAAAAGATGCCAGAGTTTCTCTGTAAACGTGATATTGACAACTGATTTCAGGTTTGAAATAGTTGCCATTTAACTTTCATCACATTAAAATAATAATTCTGTTCTTAATTAGCAAATTTTTTGTTCTTTAGTGATAACTTCTATTAATTTGGCAAATCATAGAAAGTTGATATGTATTTATCAAATGCCTTCATAGTATTTATTGAAAGGATGTCAATTTTTCCCCCTTTGGCCCATGTAAGTGTTATTTCATATTATTCATATTATTAGATATCCTGATATGAAACCATCTCTGCAGTCTGCAGTCCTACAGCAAATCCTACTTGATATTAATCAAAATGAGTCTGGTGTGTGTGTGTGTGTGTGTGTGTGTGTGTTTGTGTGTGTGTGGCTGACCACCAAGGCTATGCTGGCTTCTTAAATGGTAGCAGGATTCTTTTTTCTTAACACTAAAACTGTAAACGACATAGAAATTGCCCATTCATGGAAAGTTTGTGAGAGCTCAGCAGGAAAACTGCACACATTGTACCTAGAAATCTTGACAGGTTATTAGGGTAATATTCTGTGATAACATAAAAATACTAGGCAAAGGTGATGAATCTTTCAGGTTATTTACTAACTCTACTTGAGCCATTTTTGGTTACACTGATTTCTGTCAGAAAATTATTAACATTTTAAGATTGAACAAGAGAGAATCTTACTTCTTATTTTTATACCTCTAAAGCCCATTTCTATTTCTAATTTTATTGGTGTTCCTCTACCATTTTACCATTTTATTGGGGTTTCTTTGTCAAAGGGTGAGTCTTAGTAAATTCCCCATCCCAAGTAGAACAATTTATTTTCTTTATTAATCTTTCTGTTTTCTCTCAGTTGTTTTATAATGCACAAATTGTTCCCTTTATCATTTTCTTCCTCTTATTTTTGTGAGGCTTTTGTCTTTTTTCTTTTTAATATCCATGAATTGACAGCTTAATTCGTGTTTTTATTCTGTCTTGTTTAATAATGAATGCATCTAAGACTATGGGTTTATCCATAGCCTTTTTAATTTTGCAGATTGCAGGAGGAGGGAATCAATATTTATTGAACATGTATCCGGTCAGATGCTGTGCTAAGTATTTCACATCCTTTCTCCTTTGCAGAATGAAAGGGCTTGTCTTGTTCTGCAGGGCTGTTGGGAGCCTGCAGCGAATAATCTGGAATGTAGCAGCTAATGCTGGGCAGTGGTTGCCTAAATGGCAGCCTCCCAACTCTCCTTACCTTTTGTTCCCATTTTACACACAGGGAAATTGAGTCTCAGCAAAGAGCAAGAAAGTGCTCCGTGTCTCCAGTCACTGAGAAAGGTCAAGACAGGGCTCCACAGCACTCTCCAAGGCATTGTCCTGGGTGGGTCACAGGAGGGAAACCAGCAGAACAGCGGCAGAAGAGCTGCGTGGTGGGTCAGCAGGATTATTGCCTTTGTCCTTGCTCCAAAAACCACGGGGCCTCCACCGTCTGCTCTCATTCCTGAGAGTAAAGAATCATACATATCCCCTCTCCTAACAGCAGGCCTCCTTTGAGACATGTGGTTCCTTCTTTCCAGTAGAAGAAAGGGGACACTTAGCTGTTATTAAAGTGCACCCAAGTTATTTTAAAACGAAGCATACTGCCAAAGCTCCGTGGCACATTCCTCCTGCTTGCTCCAGCTAGGGGAGATTCCCAGGTTCAGCCTGGCCTGGCTTTGGCAGAGTCCCTTCTCCCTCTCCTGAGAGAGCCAATGTGTGCCTCTCCTGGTACAGTATCTATGGGGTCACTGAGTGGTGGAGACAGCCAGAGGAGCGGGAGTGAGAGGACGACCCTCTTAGACTGGGACGATGTGTTTGCAGATGGATATACCTTGACTGTGAAGGTCTGGCAGGAGCGACAGGCACAGAACTCTCTGCTTTCATGGCTGTTGAGCAAATGAATCTGTTCCCACTGTGCAGCTCTACTCTCTGAGGACTTATTTGTTAATGTGAAAGAGAAAAGATAGAGGAACATTTACTAAATTATGTGAACGTACACAGTGGAAATCCGGAAGAGCTGCACAGAGAGGTCACTGAGGATAAGCCTGCGGGGCCCTAGCAGGGGACAAAACCAGAGGGCTTGTGGGTGCTTGGGTAGGAGCTGGACCTTCAGCCCAATGTACCCCCAAAGTGCCTGGCGGGCCCCCCGGGGACTCTCACATGCCTCTTTCCTGCTGAGAGTTCCCTACATGCTCCCTATATTTAGAATCCTTTGGTACTCCCTTCTGTAGTGGGCAGGTGCATATGAATGGGAGACCAGGGAAGGCTGGGGTCACGCAGACTCAGTCTGGAGTGAGCTAGTGGGTGGACGCAGATCTGAGTAACAGGCAGCTTGTGTTCTATGTGGCACACGGCTGGACTAGAATCTAGAGTTCAGAATGCCCAATGATTTTCTGAGGGATATGATTTCATAAGAAAACCTTCATTATGAAAAACTATAACACTTTATTATGTTTAGAAAAGTCTCATCTAATAAATGTGTCTTATTCATTTTTGTTTGTTGGGACCAGAAGGGTTATTTGATAAAAAGACCCTATGTCCTTATTTATGTTGTCTCCTCAGGTAGTTCGCTTATGCATTTATTGCCTGTCTTGTCAGTTACATGTACACCTCTTTGACACTGGCATTTCAACGAGCAGTAAAGCCTGAAGAATAAAGGGAAATTTTCTAATTAAAACTTTAAGCATCTATTTAAGACTTAATGTCTGCCTTTCAAACAACAAGTGAATGATGTTGTAGGTACCATACTGGGACCCAAAGGAATGAAAGATACAGGTTTTCTCCTTCTTTCCTCAGGATTTATCAAGGGGTCCACCTCACTTTATCCTGCAAGGTGCAAGTAGATTTGACATCCAACAAGGAAGAGCAGGTGAGAACGCAACATCTTCCCTCTCAGCCCTTGGGCTTGGACTTCACCTTTGAAATCACACTGGCTTGGATCGACTTGACAGAAACCACCTGGCCGCTAGCCAGAATCCATCTATTAGAGTTTCACCTGACTGGAAAGATGACTCTTTGTGACTTCTATACTGAGCACAGTGCCTGACATGAAATAGCCTTCAAAGAGTTAATGTTGAGAAGAAGGGGAAGAAGGCAGACTCAGGCGAGGAGATAAGCATACTCAAAGGGACTCACGGTGATATCCAAGGAGAAACTCAAAGCCACACATCTTACAGAGGAGAAAACCCCTGCATGGTCTAGAGAGGCTGCTGGCCTCATGGGTTTGGATAAACAAAGAAAATTATTTTCATAATTATACCAAGTACCACTGCCACTTGTGCAAAATTTGTTGTGGCTTTAGCTCTGGGCACCTCTGGCAAAAAGAGAACCAGAGAGGAAGTTGAGCCCCCAGCTTTGCCAAAGCCAGGCTAGGGCTCCCTGGTCTTCCCTCAGTACACTATCACCCACCATCACCACTACCACCACCTTTACTCTGTCGTTCTTGGAACTGGCTACAGAGAATCTATTACCCAATTCTCCTCTCTTAGAAAGCAAAGTTTCATTACAAGTTGAGTGCCCTTAATCAAAAAAATAAAAAATGCAACGTGCTCCAAAATCTGAAACATTTTGAGCACTAACATGATGCCACAAGTAGAAAATTCCACACCTGACCTCATATGGCAAGTCATTGTCAAAATACAGGTGCACTAAAAAGATTGTTTAAAATTACCTTCATGTTATGCAAATAAGGCATATATGAGACAAGTGAATTTCAGGGTCCCATCCCCAAGGTAACTTAGTATGTATATACAAATATTCCAAACTCAAAAAAAAAGTCAAAATTGGAAACTCTTCTGATCCCAAGTATTGCAGATAAAAAATATTCAACCCATATTCAGAAGGAAGCATACTGATATTGGTGGCCAGGATGTGTGAGATCATGGGGTGGGACTTTCAGGGATGTCCAGTTGGTGTCTCATGGCTTTATTTCCTCCTAGGGAACTGCTGGTTCCTCGCAGCACTGGGCTCCTTGACCCAGAACCCTCGGTGTCTGCAGAAGATCCTGATGGACCAGAGTTTTTCACACCAGTATGCAGGGATTTTCCACTTTCGGGTATGTGGTCTGTGATGGCGATCCTTATATGAAGGGGTCCTCTGTAAGTCCAAAGGAGAGTCCTTAATATTCTCATGGCCTGGGAGCCTGCCATGAGAATGTCCTCATGTGTTAATTACCCTGCCTATAACCAAAATGGGATTTGGGCTTATGACCTGACCACCCATAGGGAAGCTGAGAGTTAAAATGTTTTCATTGACATAAGAGGTGATAGGAGCAATTAACCAAACAGAAAGTCATTGACCCCGAACCCTGCAAGTATCATTGAGTTCATATCTATATTTGTTCCTGTGCCAGGTCATGTTATTTTGATCACACTAGTGTTATAAGAAGTCACAACATCTGGGCAAATGAGTTTTCCTTCATTATTAATTACTTGTTTCTCAAAATCATCTTGAGAATTCTTCCTCCATGGGAATTTTAAAATCATTTTGTCTAATTAAAAAGAAAAGCCTCTGTGATGTAGAATGGAGCTGCATTAAATTTATGCATTAATTTGGAAAAATTATATTTTTATTGTTTTAATTATTCCTTTCCAGAAACATGGTATATCTTTGTATTTATTCAGAGCTAATTTTATGGCCTTCAATAAAATGTTACATTTATGTTTTCATATTGGTGCTATACCTTTCTTGGCAAATTTATTCTCAAATATGTTTCAGTTTTATAGCAATGTGAGAGAAGTGTTTGGATTTTTTTTTTCTCATTTCCAGCTATATGTTGCTGGAAACGAAAAAAGCTATGGTGTATTATATATTACACTGTGTTTGGCCACCTTACTAAATTTTTTTATTAGTTCTCATTTTTTTCTTTAGTAGAATCTGGATTGCTTTAGTAACCTAACAATATCATCTGCAAGTAGCAGTAATTTTACCTCTCCTTTTAATATTTATAGAACTTATTTTGCTCTTTTGCCTTCTTAGACTAGTTAGAACTTCACAATTTTAAAGCAGTGACAAGAGTCAAAATCTTGCCTTCTTATGATTTTCATCATTTTCTTAATATGCTGTCAGATTCAATTTGCTAAAAATCTTATTAGAATTTTTGTACGTATATTATGTGTAAAATTACTTTCTAGTTTGTTATTTTTATCACATTTGAGTTAGCTTTTTAAAGCAAACTGATTACAACCTACTTTTTAATTTGAAATAATTTGAATAAAATTTACTAATCTTGATTGTCTGCCCTTTGAAAGTAAAATAGACAAGATAGAAATAAATAACACAGACAATAGTTATATTATGTAGCCCTACCTCCTTTTTAAATGCAGTGTCTTTAGCTCCTCAGTGTATTCAGTAGATATTAATTTGCTTGGGCCACTTATTTCTACTGAACCCTTGAAATTTATACAATATTGGAAAAAAATCAACTTTTTTTGTACCAACACATAGAGTTGCTCCAATGATTCTGCGAAAATTCCTTTAATTTCTAGTAATCTGTGGTTAAATCTACTTTTCAGTCTCATTGCTATATTTTTATTGTTCCACTTTTTTCTTAATCTAGCTTTTCTCAATTCAACTAATCTGTTGTATTTTTTAACAAATCAATCTGGTTTTTATTATTCATTTATTCTTTTTGCTTTAAAGTATTGTTTTCTATATAATTAACTTAAATTTTATTTTTATTAAGTCTTTTAGTTTCTCTTGGCTCATTTTCATTTTTCTTTTGTGAAACTGCAGTTAAGATTGTTATTCATCTCCAAAGACAAAAGCTTTTTAAGAGTATAAATTTTCTTCTGTACTCTTTCTCGATGGGTTTTGACCCAAAGCATCTTACTTTTATTAATTTTAAATTTTAATTTTGATTTGTTCTTTCGTATACATTTGGGGCTGTTTCTTTAAAGTTTATCTAGTTTTCAATAGTTAATTTTTCTTTTGGTGGTAATCTTTTGGTTGCTGAGTTTTAGTTTACTAAATTATGGCCAGAGACTATAATTTATAAAATGTCTACATTTGGGGAAGTTATTAACATAGTTTTCTTTATGGTCATGTGCATGATAGTTTTTACTAATGGTTCATGGATACACAAAAATAGTACATATTATCCAATGGCCATGACTTTTATTAATTGAATTAGCAGGTTGTATTCTCTACAGTTGTTTGTTTTATTTTGGCTTAATTTGTCTGTTTGGTTTATAAAATACTAAAGCAACAGTTGAAGTTCATTCTCACAGTCATATTTGGAAACATCTTGGGCTTTTGGATATTCTGCTCCTGCATGTTTTCCTGTTACGCTCTTTGGAGGCCAAAGGTTTATGATCTTGCTGACTTTTTGTTAAAATATAACTTGCATAAAATCCCCATTTGTTATATTTAGTACCTCTGGCCTTGCATTTCTCTTTATCTGATATTCATGTTGCTAGTCCAACTTCGTGTTATTTACATCTCCCTCTTATGTTTTTACTTATCTCTTAGCTATTTCAGTTTCACTGTCACAGATATCTGTCTTATAAAAAGAATGCTTAAAATTATTTCTTACTATTGCCTCTCTCCTTCATCTCTCTTGACTTCCTTGTTCTAATTTATCCTTCACTAGATAGAAGTAGTTCTTTGCATACTTTTCTCAGATCACATGAGAGTTTTTCATTTACTCTCACAAATGACATTTTGGCTACAGGTAGACTTCTTGGATCATATTCCTTTCCTCAAAACTCCCTTTGTCCTATTGTCTTGTAGCTTCCAAAGTTGCAGAACAAGGCTCCATTGTTAATCTATTCTTTTGATTTTGTATGCAGCATATACTTTCAAACTGTAGTCTCTATGAGCTTTTCTGTCTCTAGAGTTCTTCACTTTTCTCCAGAGTATAAACAGATGTGTGCCTTTTAAGCAAGAACCTTGCCTGGAAGGCAGTGAGCCTTTCCATCTGAAGACCAGCCTCCTTCTGTTTAGCTAAGTTTTCTTCTTCATTGCTGGGCCTCCTCCTTTACCCTGTGCTTACCTCCTGAAGTCCAGCTACCTGGACGCTAGGTTTTTCAACAGGCACCTGGTGCTGCACCACTGCTGCTGATCTAAGGACCACACTGAGGACTGAACTAGAGAATCCAGTGAGCTGTGCCTAGGATCCCTCCAGGGCTGCCAGCACTGGTAAAAGCAACTTAAGTGGTTATGACAACTGGCAGCCCAGACAGGACACGCTCTGCCCTTCTGGGTAACAAAGAAAGTCACACAGTTCCACAAAACAGCCACAGTGCTGACATCTATAGATCATTTCTTATCACTGTGGGCTTGGGTAGCGCTCTGCAAAGCACCCAGCACTTGGGGCATCTTGAATGCTTTGCCCGAACACTTCTGGTTTCCCTACTGCCACAGCCTCACCACTCCACATCTTACTACTCACTGCAACAAGACCCCAAGTCCACAGCTGCAATGCACTGCTTGTTAACAGCTGTGAAGGCACCTTCTTCTCCTCTTCATCTTTGCTGATGTCTCTGTCTCAGTCTGTGCTCTGAAAACATCCTCAGCTGGCCACGACAGCCCAATGTCTGGGAAATCCAGTGGAAAAGGACATGTGCCCAAAAGGTCATGCACACCCAGCTTTAGCGTGTCACCTAGTGGAAATTTACCTTCATCAAGGCCCAGGCCTAAAGCCAGCAGCCCTGCCGCTGCTCCAGCACCGGGGATGCCAGCAAAGAAACTCAAAGGCTGGCCTTTATAATGAATGTTCCTCATTTGGCAGTGTCCCCGGGTGAACCATTTAGAGCTGAATGCTAAAGATGAAAGCAGTCTGTTTTGGAGAGGAACATCTGGCTCATTTGCACTCTTAGCGGTGGCCATGCCAGCCAGCTTCATCGCTCTGCTGTAATGAGAGGGCCAGCGTGACGTGAGGATAGGAGTACCAGAGTGAGGCTGTCACCGCCCGGTCCCCCTGAGCCGTGCACATCACTCGGCCTCCAGGCCCTGGCCCATGTGGTCCCCACCATCTGGGACTGCCTTCCCGACATCCTCCCCTCCTGGCTAAATCCTGCCACCTCCCTCAAGCCCTCAGCTCTGCTAAGTTCTCTGCCCCCTTATAACCCACTGCTCTTTGCAGCAGCTCTTCAGTAGCTCTTCCCCCTGCTTCCCTTTGTACAGGAGAACTACCTGGAGGGTCCAAAAAGGACTTGGCTGAAGTGAGCTGGTAGCAAAGTCAAAGCCAAGTTTCCTTCCTCCATACCTGTATTTCCCTTGGTTCACTCATTTTCTCTCTCTGCCAGTAGAGATGATAGGCTTGTGCCCTGGCTGGTAAATTAAGCTGGGATTTTGTTCTAGATCTAGTTTGTTGTTGTGTCAGAGGTCACTTTGCAACTGGGGGGATCTTTTGGCTGAGGTTGGAGGCCTGCAGACGCTCTCTCCTGCCCCAACTCTACTGAGACCTGCTTGTCTCTCTTCCAGTTCTGGCAGTGTGGCCACTGGGTAGAAGTGGTGGTTGATGACCGTCTGCCTGTCATGGGCAAGGAATGCCTCTTTGTGCACCCTCGCAAAGGCAACCAGGAGTTCTGGCCCTGCCTGCTGGAGAAAGCCTATGCCAAGTAAGTACGGGCCTGCCTCTCTGCCCAGAGTTTCAGTGCTAGCTCTGGTCCCCCAGTGACTTGCCCTCCCAGATGCGCCCCTCCAGCTGGCCCTGCAGCTCTTAGTAGCCCTCTTGAATGCAAGCATTGTCCCTGGAGCATGAGAGCCCTTGCCAGCTGGCTAGGCATCCTCCTTGAACAATCACTGCGTGTAAGGGTCAGTGTTAGGGCCACCATAGGGACCTTGAAGCACATAGCAAGGTATGGGCTAGGCTGGGACCAGGTAAAGCTATGCACAGATGGTATTGTTGCTGTGCTAATGTAAGAGTCCAGCTGAAATGCAATTGTCCTTCGTATCTGAAGGAGAGTTTCTAGGATCTACCCAATGATATTAAAATCCACAGATACTCAAGAGCCTTATACAAAATTTCTTAGTATTTGCATATAACTTATACATACGCTTGAAATCATCTCTGCATTACATATAATACCTAATACAATGTAAATGCTATGCAAATGGCTGTTATGCTGTATTGTTTAGGAAATAATGACAAGGAAAATTGTGCACATGCTCAATACAGATATAATTTTTCCAGTATTTTCCATCAGCAGCTGGTTGAATCATGGACGCAGGGCCTGTAGATACAGAAGGCCAACTGTGCAATATTTTGGTCAAAAAATGACAGTGGCTCCCTGTCCCTCAGAGTCAGGCTGAGGCTGCAGAAAGAGGTGGCGTCTGAGCAAGGCTCGAGGGATGGCTAGGACTCTGCAGCACAAGAGGAGGGTCCAACAGCAAAGGCCTTGGTGCAATGCTTCAAACTGAAGTCCAGGAAGTCAAGACTCTGGTGTGACTGTAGTGATGTTGCGTTTGTATGTGAGTGCAGTACAGGCGTTCCCTGTCTTTTCTGGCCAACGCACTGTGCTCAGGGACTGCCTTCTGGGGCTGACAAATTTAAAGACTTGTAAGCATACCAGTTCGTATATTATGCATGGCCTTTGGGCTGCTTCTACTCAACAGATGTTTGTTGAGCGTTTCACCTTATGCCCGACACTGTGCTTGACACTGGGTCAGACACTCTGAGGCTGGCTCAACTGGATGCATGCGAGCGTGTGCATACATATGTGTATGAGGAAGAGGGCGCTGTTGTAAAGAACTTCACAAGTGATGAAGAGATGCTCAGATTTTCCACAGCCAGAAAAATGTAAATAGAATAGTAAGACATCCTTCTAGTCCTATCCAGCTATAAAAATTAGAAAGCTGATACTGTCAAGTATTTGCCAGGAAATTGGGTTCCAAGAATTCTCAAACTATCCTACAGGGAGGACGTCCCAGGCAGTCTCCTGACGGGCCATATGGTATCAGTTAGAGTAATTACACACGCATCTCACACCTGGTAAGGATGCTGCCAGAAGGGCCCTAAGGACAGGCCTGAGGCTGTTCCTGATGGGGATGGGTGGCACTCACAACTACCACAGCAGCCCAGTGGAGAGCCATGAGATGGTTAGAAACCACAGATTTGATTTCCACATGGCAATCTGGGTTGTCCTCAGAATCCTGGTGCTAAGCAAATGGGACAAGAAAAACACAGAGCAAGAAAACAAAACCCTGTTTATGGAAACAGAAGCTCTGCCAATGCAGTACCCACTTTATAAGAACACATAGGGATAAAAAGACGTACATTACACATCCTGAAACGGTGGGGAGGGAAGAGGACGAGGATAAAAGGACAAGGGTGGGGAGGAGGGTAGGAGAGAAGAAAAGGGAGGAGAAAGATAATTAAATGAAGTAACAGAAAAATAAAGCAAACAAGAACAAGACCTTGCAGTGATCCCATTATGGAAAAGGGGGAAACCGGTGATGAAATCTTGCAGAGTCCAAGGGTGGGGTTCTGCCACAGTCCTGACCTCCGGACCATAGCCATACAAGTGAGGCAACTTTTCTGGGTCACCTCTGCCCCTGCCCAGCAGCCTCCCCTGGCCCCATCCCATCTCCGCAAACTCCTGCCAACCTCACCTTCCCCAGGGTCCTCACTGTTTCTTGTGACTCCCCTTTAAGCAGCTTGGCCTTGCTCCTCTCTCTGCGTGCTTTGGCCTTGGCTTCTGCTGTTTCTATTCCATCCACCGCTCCTTACCTGAATCCACTTCCAGTGAGCAGAAATCTGCCTGATCAAGCACTGATCTGATTCCCTGTTGGCTCATTAACCCATGGCCAGCAAAAATGACCATAAAGCCCTTGTGAGCAGGAGCTGTGGAAGGGACAGTTTCCTTAAGAAGGAACTGGGGCAGGAGGTAGCTAAATGACCCCACAGAGAGAGAAGGGTGGGCCTCCTTTTCAGTCAACCTTCTGAGCTAGACTCACCTTCTTGAGGTTAACTTCAACCCAGGTCCAGGGGATCCAGGTCTAAATACAGTGGGAGAAAGTAACCAGGAAGCCCACCCCATACATAATAAGTCTTGGGCATTTGCTCAGTGGTCTTCATCAAGCTTTGGCCAACTCCAGCCTACAGTGTCTTGACTTTGCAGTTCTAACACGTACTCACTGGGCTTTGGGAACCATGACAGTTCTTCCAGACCCCTAAAAAGATCAAAGTCTCCAAGGCCCAGTGGGGATGGGGCGAGCTGCTCATTGGCGGAGGCAAAACCTCAGTCAAACCCCTCAAGCCCACCCTAAAAGCTACTGCTTGAAACCCTCAGCAGCAAAGCCCCCTGGCTGTGAGTTTGTCTCACTGGCCTCTCCCACTCTGGAGGGTACTCATTTCCAATAAATCTTTGATCTTGCTGCTCCTTGTAGCTGACCTAAATCAGTCATTCAGCTGGGAAAGAAATAGATGTCCTCTTCTGTTCTGTGTTCAGGATACAGTACTGAGAACCCAGACAAGCTGGGCATGGTGGTGCTTACCTGACATCCCGGCACTTGGAAAGCTGAGGCAGGATAGCTGCAACTATATATACAAAGTTCAAAGCCAGCCTGAACTACATATTGTGATCCTGTCTCAACACACACACACACACACACACACACACACACACACACACACACACACAGAGTTTGAGCAAGATTGTGTGGGAGGAGATAGTGAGGGACATATCAGAGTGAGGAGTCGTAGCTTACAGACCACATTCTAGGGGAAAATGAGCAGGAGGAAGGGTCGGAAAGTTCCAAGAGCACCCTAACCAGACCCACATTTCACAGATGGGAAGCTGAGCCTCCCTCCAGGCAGCGAGGAAATGGCAGGGGCCAGCAGTTACCCTGAACATGCCCAGTCCCTGCTCACCTGACCAGGGGACCCCATTAAGCAGGACTGGACTGGGGCCTATGGGATGGAAATCGTAGTCCACCTTGTTCCTGTCTTTCTGGAAGCCACAATCTAAATACAGAGGGCTTCAAGATATCTTTATGTGCATTCTTTCTTTTGAGGCAACTTGTAAAAAACGAAGGTTATTACTCGGTTCCCGTGTCAGAAAGAGCTAGTCATTAACCCTGGAGAACGGAACCTGGGTGACAGCCAGGGTTGTTGAACCTGTGCACGTGTCTAGGGAGGTTAATTCACTCCTGAGCTACTTACACAAACACTGCCATTATCTCCCCGTCTGGATCCCTCCCTCATCACGGCAAGGCCCTGTTTGCTCCTTGTGTAAAAGGGGGGTAGCATGGAGGTGCACTGGGAGAATTAGAAAGCTGGTGGAATGAAATGATGACTTTGACCCCATTTTGTTAACAGCTGACCTAAAGCAATCATTCAGCTTGAAAAGAAATAGGAAAGTAGACCCAGAATCCACATTCTGCCACCTAAAGAAATCGAACAGAGGATAAAATGTTTCAAACTATTATAGCTGTTTAAAAGTTTTGCCCCCACCATCCAAAGAAGGAAGTTACAGAACACAAGAGTGAATTAAGTAGAATGACAGCATTTCAGAGCCAGAGGGAACCTCTGTGAACACTGATCTGTGCCTTCTTCTGTGAAGGATGAGGAAACTGAGGCTTGGTGGGGGTGGGGAGTGTGTGAAATGATTTGCTCAAGGCCAATCTGGGGTGGGAACTGTTCTCCCTAGTCATGTGCTGTTCCACGGATTCTCGATACTGTCAGTCCTGGGGAGAGAGATCTGTCTTTGTCCTCCTTTGGAACTTGGTGGATGAGACAAGTGTGGAGACCTCATCTGTCCACACAAAGGACCTCTTTCTCCCAAGGGTGTTGGGGGCAGCTGAGTTCATAGGCACACCTTGGACTTCCATTTATCCTTGCAGCTGGAGAGTCTGGAAATGAATTGGTTAAATCAGTCAATAGTAGGGGGAAGAAAATTATGTGTAGGGATTTTCCTCCCAGCTGTCATAAAATAGAAGATAAGATCTGGTAGGCTGCAAATCATCCTTTGTAGAATCTCTGCAGGTAAGAATTGCAGTATTTTAGTCTCCTCTCTGGCTCCGATTTAGATATCTGGATTCTTCCCGCTTTCATATCACTGCAGGAAGATAGACATTTCCCCAAAAGGAGGCTAAAGTTGACGGATAAGGACAGGCTCGCTCCGAATTCCTGGGTTCAGGTGACAAGGCATAGTGACAGCTGCAGGGAACATACCTCTCTCTCCTTTTCTCTCTCTCTCTCCTTTCCAAAGGGGACTGGGAAGAGTTGCTGTGTTCCTGAAGCATCCATGGGCCTGTGAGCTCATAGTTGCAAAGGAAAAAGATAGCTCTGTGTCAAGACACCCAGCTGCTCCTGAAATCAGCTTTGGGGCACTGTGGATGCACAGTGAGAGAAGGTTCTGGAAGACAAGGGAGGCGGCTGCTGGTGGTGTGGGGATGTCTGTGCAGACTGCAGAATGGTATGGGTGCGAGACCTCAAATGAGACCCAGAGCCACTGAGATAGAGAGTCTGAGGGAGGGGACAGAGCCCCCAGCCGCTTCCCTGGAATGATTCTAGCTGTGTTTGAAGCCCCAAGGGCCCCTGAATGTATCGGGGAGGGGGTTGTGATGGTGAAATACCAGGGGGGCTTGGAGTGGGTTCTGTACCCTTGGCACTTGTGAACCTCCAGTATTTTCAGCAAAGCCCTAATTTAGGAACAGGAGCCAGAAACACATGTGACATCAGAACCAAAGCATTCAGACCCCATTGAGCATAACCATGGTCAAAGGCAGGCTTTATGGTTGACTAAGCAAACACTCCAAAGGTAAAGTCTGATATCAGTCACCACCAGGGTCAGAGAGAGGGAGTGAAGTGGCTAAGTTCAGAAACCAGTTTCAAAGTCAGTTTTATTTTTGTATTTATTTACTTATTTTGAGACAGGGTTTCACTATGTAGTTCAGGCTGGTTTTTGAACTCACTATGTACCCCAGCCTGGCCTTGAACTCATGGCAATCCTCCTGCCTCAGCCTCCCAAATGTTGGGATTATAGGTATGGACAACCATGCCCAGCATAAAATCAGTTTCAAAATGAGTTAGATAAGCCTGATATGTGCTAATGACTGCAGAATTGCCCTTTATTCTAGGATCCTGACTGATTGATTACTTTGTTTCTTTCTTTCTTTTCTTTTGTGCCAGGAATCAAACTCAGGCCTTGTGCTTGCCAGGCAGGTGTTATACCGCTGAACTATATACCTAGCTTTTCTTTCTTGCTTGCTTGCTTTCTTGCTTGCTTGCTTGCTTGCTTTTTCCTTCTTTCTCTCCTTTCTTTTCTTTTTTTTTTTTTTGGTGATACTGGGGATTGAACCCAAGACCTTTGCTCAGACCTACATACCCAGCCAAGCATTTTTACTTTTTATTTTGAGACAGGATTTCACTAAGTCAGTAAGTTGCCCAACTGGGGGACTGAATTTTTGACCCTCCTGCCTCAGCCTCCCCGAGTGCTGGGATTACAGGCATGGTCCATCACACCTGCCTTAGCTTTCTTTAATAACAGGTTTTCTAGGCTATCTACTGCATTTGTGCATGGTACAATGTCCTGCTAATGCTGGCTGCTTGCTATGTATTTGCTGAAGTGAATTTACTAGAACCAGAGTGATTCTCCAAGGACAGAATGAGCCAAGTAGGAGCAGGAAGAGAAAGAACTGTCCAAGGGCTCCAGAGGGATCCAGTCTTCCCCACCATTTCCAGATGAGGCACAAAGGACAGGGCAGGGAATGTTCTGCCCATGGCCGAGACCCCATTTAGAGGCTGCAGTTAGGACGGGCCAGGCCTGTGACTCCTATCTGATTTTGCAGCACCAGGAAAAGCCATGGCAAGGGGTCTCCACTCTGCCCACTCCTATGAAAGACTCAGCCCCTGCTGCCCCTCAGGGACAGGAATGCACAAGGCTCTAGTGAGAAGGCTGGGTGCCAGAGGCAGAGGTGAGAAGGCTGGGTGCCAGAGGCAGCTGTGAGCCTGCGGGCAACCCAAAGGTCTGCTGCCCGTTGGGCCTCCGGTCCTTGCCCTTCCCTGTCTGCCCTGGCTGTAGCATAGGATCCCAGCAGAAGCCGCAGCTCACCACACCGACAGAACTAGAGCTCTCCAGGCCAGTCCATCTTCATCTGGCCTGGCTCCCTGGTATCACTGTGACTGATGGAGTCTCCCTCCACCCAGGGGAACACAGGCCGCTCTTGGGCCCATCCTCAGCCTACACCACTGTGCTCTTCTAGCTCCGGGAGCACCCAGTTTGCTGCCTCCCCCCAGAACGCCTGAGCTACTCTCCTTACTTGAATAAATGGGGACTCAGAATTTGCACTACCAGAAACCTCCCCTGGCCTCCAGATGGCTTGGCCTATCCTCTCCATTCCATAGTGACCTGCTTATTCCTGTAGCAGATAGACTCTCAAAGGGGGAAGGACACTTGACAGTTTGCTATTTACAACCCTTTCCAAGAAGAATGTTCCCTGGTGCCCAGGGGCTATGGTGGAAGGTGGACAAGTCTCGGGGTAGAAGGACAGGAAGTGTGACCTGCTGCTCCTCGCAAGGACAGCAGCAAGCTGTGTGTCTTCTGTGCAAAGCGCACATACTCATGACCCATAGTGCAGCTCCGTGAGGTAAGGGCTGCTGTCTTGTTTCTCAGAGGAGCAAAGAGGACCGAGGACATTCAGTTGCTTGTCTGGGGAAAGAGGTTGCCTTGGAGGAGGCCAGGAGGTGGACTCAGATGGTCTGTGATGGGCAGGCATATTAGACAGCCTTACCTCACTGGGATACCATACCCAACTCACGACTTAAAGGAGGAAAGGGTTACTTTGGCTCATGTTTTAAGGGGATTAAGTCCATGGTTGGCTGGCTCCCAGGAGTAACATCATGGCAGCAGGGCAAGATGGAGCAAAACTGCTTACTTCGTGATAGCTTGGAAGCAGAGTAGAGAAACAGTGCCAGGAAGGGAGGAACCAGACATAGACCTCAAGACCACCCCCTCTATGACCCATCCAGACACAGGCAAAAGTGTACTTTATTAAACCCCTGGGTCATGGCCCAGAGTGGATCAAGAAGTCCTTCACCTGGGAAGAAGCAGAGGGTCAGTGGGTAGTGGCCCTTCCCAGAAAGCCTCCCTACAGGCACCCCAGGGTTAATTTGGACTCTTCCTTCCCAGGCTGCAGGGATCCTATTCTCACCTGCACTATGGCTACCTCCCTGATGCCCTGGTGGATCTCACAGGAGGGGTGGTTACCACTGCCAACCTGTATGCGTCTCCTTCTAACCTGCTGATGATGGTGAAGATGGCAGCCAAGGCCGGCTCCCTGATGACCTGTGCCACCCCAAAGGGGGTGAGTGGACCAGGAGCCCTCCGCAGGGTTTTGCTCATGCCAAAGTGGCCAGCCGGGGGCAGGTAGCTAGGGAGAGAAAGGCGAGTGACCACCCTGGAGCACCTATAGTGGGTTTAGCTGAGGTCACTGCATGGAATTTTACAACAGCCCTCCCTCTGAGATGGAGGTGCAGAATTTACTTCCCAGAGGAGCCAATGGGCTCAGAGAGGCTCAGGGATATCTCCCTAGCCCACAGCCAAAAAGTTCTGAGCAGGGCTCAAATCTGCTAACTCTAAAGCCTTTATTTCCTTTTCCATGATGAGAAGCCACCAGGCCCACAGTCACCAAGGGGGTGATCAAGGGCTGCAGGAGGTGGCAATTGCTTTTTCTGCAAGGTTTGGGGCTGCTTTGTGCTTTGCCCTGATTCTGCAAAGATCCGCAATTCTTGCGGACTCTAAAGGCAGCACAAGGGCAACTTGTCCCCTTTGGAAAGCTTGCATGATCCTCCAAACTATGTGAGTCTGTGCTCAGACGGCTGGCTCCATATTCCTGGGAGGTTTCTTGAACACTTTTAATTCTTTTTTGGGGAGGGAGGTTGGTTTGAGACAGGGTCTTGCTATGTAGTTCAGGCTGGGTTTGAATTCAATATGTAGCCCAGGCTGGGCTGGAACTCGCAGTGATCCTCCTGCCTTAGCCTTCTGAGTGCTGGGATTGCAAGCATGTGCCACCACCCCCAAGACACTGAGTTCTTTAAATTCGTGGGCTTTGAGGGTCATCTCCCTAATCTGAAATGTCACCAAAATCCACAGATGCATTTTAGAACCCCACTCCTCATGGCAGGGACTTTAGTGTACCCTGCAAACCACCTGGCAGATGGATTTTGTGCTGTGCCTGGCTAATGACAAGTGGCTGGTAGAGCAAGCAGCTGAGGTCCTCAGGATCTGGTGGGCTCCATCCGCCAAGTAGTGGCCTTCTGGGCATGAAATAGGCAGAGTCTCACCTGGTGGCTGCCTACCTCTGTCTTTCTAGAAGGGCATTCAAAGGCATGTGCCCTCCAGAGGACCAGGGCCCTGCTGTTGTTCAATTGCTTTCTGAGCTGTGCTTCTCTACCTTACCCAGGGTCTCTGAGTGCTGTGCTGAGAACTCAGTCTACTTTTCTCCTTTGCAGCCAACAGACGGGTCGGAAGTGATGGAGAACGGGCTGGTGAGTCAGCACGCCTATACTGTGACTGCAGCCGAGCAGGTGAGGCTTACTGCTGGCCTGGCGTCTCTCTCCTGGGTTCTGCCTGATATTCTTGCTCCTCTAAACAGGTGCTGGAAGCACATTCCTCCAGCAAGCACAACAAAGCTGACACTAACGATTACCACCTTCATCACCATTGTGGCATCCTCCAAGGGCAGCCTCAGCTGCTTCCATTCACCCAGAAGTTCCTGGATGAACTTCCTACCCAGGGTTCTCTCTAGTGCCCTTTCTCTCCTTGGAGTGAGCTCAGGTGTCAGTATCTAGCTAGATGGAGAGACTTACCCCAAAAGGAGGTAGAATGGAGTGTCTAGCTGACTCTGGGGAGGGGTTTTGCCCTGAAACAGGTTTCACTTGTGACCTACAAGCTACCCTGACAGAATAAAGACACTCCCAAGTGCAGGCACTTATGACAGAGTTCCTTTCTGTCTCAGGTAAGCAGGTGGCCCAAGGCCGGTCGGTGGCTCTGCCATCCCCAATTAGGTGCTTCCACCTGTGAGCCCAAGACAGCCACTTCAGGTCCCCCCATCGCCCAGCCAAAGGCCATCTGTGCATCTGCAGAAGAGCAGACTTGGAAAAGGCAGGCATCACTTTTGCCCACATCCCCTCAGCCTGAACTTAGACCAGCTGGCCTGCCGAGGCCCAAGCAGGCTGGGACATGCACTATCCAGCTGGCCGCCACATGGGCAGAGGAAACTTCATTCCCATGGAGGAGGGGAGGCGGGCCTCTCACAACAGTCTTTCTTCCGATGCAAGAACCTGCTGTGGGTAGACAAGACGTGAATGCTCACCGTGCAGCAAGATATGTGCAGAAAACACTGCTGAGGGGCAGCCTCCTCTGCTCAGAAGTGCTCGTAAAGGAAGAAGATGAGTCCTGACGGTAGAAATGTCTTTCGCAAGGGCACAAAGACAGCTTCTTGTAAAATGGCCACATGGGCACCCTGTCTAATTCCCGTTTGTGATGATCTCACAGCTGTGCAGTAACAACACTTCCTGGCCTCGTGGGGGCTTCCTGCCAATGTCCCCTGCCTCTATGTTTTCCACAGCTCTTGAGGTCAAATAAAGTCTTCTAAGTGCTGAGACAGAGTCCCAAACTCCAGAGCACAGTTCTCACAGATGCTTGTGGACCTAGTAGTGCAGAATATCAGCTGCTGCCTCACACTTGCCCTGCCCTCTCTCTGTCAATGGTCTCTTCTGTCCATTGACCCAAGGCCAATTGTTCCATTAGCTCATGTGTTGGTGAGTGCCCAGTTCACCGAATAGGGATAGCATCTCCTGTCTCCTGCCTGCCTCCCTAAAGTAAACCAGCAACAAAATGTTTCCTCTGCAATCAATGCTTGTTGGATCAATGGGTGAGTGCACTTGCATGAGTCAATGAATGGATTTGCCCTTGGCCAATGAAGATGACATTGCTGATCCCCCATCATAGAACACATGGGAGGAGCCTGGAAGACATTTCCCATGAGCAAGGGAGAGCTTGGACCAGCCGAGTTCTAATCACAATGGCTCTAGGATGGCTTACTTCTCAACTATGCTCCAGGTCCTCTGGTCTATCCTCCCAAGCCCTTCCCTGAATCCTCAGTGGGGATAGCTGATGCCACTGTCATACTTGTAGACAAGAGGACAGACAGGTCTGGTCTCATGGGCCAGCTTTGACCATGGCCTGTACTGTCTGGATTCTTGTGTTGATAAAACATTGGCACTGCTTCCAGATTTAGGGAAAGAGCCATGTTTGATTCATGATATCTGTGCTGACAGGGGACAAGGCAGAGGTCTGAACAGAGCACCTTACCTGGGCTGACAGGTGATCAAGGCCACACATCCTGCAGGGCCCATCCCTCTCTGCCTTTACGAGCAGCTGACACTTCACAGAATGTGCCCTCGGGAGCGCTAACCTGGGAGACCTTTGTGAAAACAGTCTTGCACATTCATTTTTAAAGTATAACTCATCATTTCCCTTTGCTGCAGACTCGTGGTATATACTAATAGTTATAGGCTCTGAGAAGGCCTGTATTTAAAAGGACTGCTTGGTTTTAATCTACCATTTGCCGTGAAACCATTTTGTTCTCCAAGTAACTACTAATGGCCAATGGAACTAGTGTTCAGGCATGTACAGCTGAGGAACCGTCATTCTAGGGTGAACCACGGGGGCCACCTCCTGCCCAGTGGCACCTGTTGGGAATATGAGCAACAGTCAGAGCGGTGAAGAACTTGACCTTGAATGTGACCCCTGTGCTCCTGACCAAGGCCCCTGTGATCACCAGTGCAATATTGTCATTACACTCACAGTTATACAAGGGCCCAGGAAAGGTTTCTCCTCCAGAGAGGGTGGGTTGGTTCTAGCGCTGAGCCACAAGTGCTAAGATTAAACCAGCCCATAAATGCAGTATGCTTTTTAATCTGCTCATCCTCCCTCCAGGCAGGACACAGACAGGAAGATAAATGAAATTGGCATTTTTTATTATGCACCTAGCTCCAGCAGTGACTCCCCTGGGCAAGGGGGTGAGTGTTTATCTGCATGCCTCATTTAGCTCTGCTCTCAGCCCCTTTGAATCACTGGCCGCTTTTCCTCTCTGTGCCCAACTGGGCCTCCGACTATCCGTTGGGCACTGAAGGTGGCTCATTAAGCTCTGTGGGCCACTAGGCAACCATTTCTCATGTCCCTGCTTGGTGGGCTCTACCAGGTGCTGGAAGCAATGATAAATGGCGTGCAAGGCTTGGGGGCGGGGCAGAGGGTGCGGAGCCCTGTGGGCTGGCATTGGAAGCTGGGGCACCTTCCATATTTCTGGGCCCTCGTGTGATGGTATTGTTCCTTCAGGGCAGTGGTCTGTTGGTGACCACATAGGCCTCAGCCAAGTGCTCAAGCTGAATCTGAGGCCAAGGTCATGGCCACATCCAAGAAGGGGCCTTTATCCAAGTCAACCCCAAACTTCAGAGCCTGAGATTTGGAAAGTAACGGTGGCTAGGATCAGGGTCCTGCCCCTCTGCCTACCTGGAGGTCTTGGGAAAGTTGCTCACCCTCTCTAGTGTTCAGTTCCCTCCTCTGCAAGTCAAGGTCACAATAAACGTCTACCCCAGAGAACTGCAGGCAGAGGGCAAGCTTGCTGGGTGCCTGGCTCTGAGCTCTGCCTCCATGTGTGTGCTCCTCCCGTCCCTGCCCCTCCGTCTCCCCGCACAGTATCACCACAGATCAGCAGCCCAGCTACAACTCAATCATATTTTAATCCCCTCTCCAGACTGAGAGCTGCAGGCCTCTGCAAATGGATGTTTAAGGGTTTGTTGTTGCTTGTTGTAACTTTCCCACGGTCCTGCCCTCTGGCTTCAGGGGAGCAGAGGAGCAAAGGTGCCACCTTCAATATCTGAAGTGAGTGATGCTGGAGGAGGAAGGAGGAAGCAAGGGAGGGATGGAAGGAGGGAAAGTCCAGGCCACTGCAGGTCAGCTACTCTAATGCAGAGGTGTCTGCATGAGACGCAGGATGAGGTGGGCTAGCCTTGGCAAGTTCAGGGCCTGGGCTATCCTGGTCTTGCCCACATGAGCCTCCTCAGCCCTCCTCACTCATAACAGTGCCGTCAGGACGGCACCACGCTCCCAGCCAGCTGCTAGCAGGGAAGCATGCTGTCTGTGGGACAGAGATGCTGTCTGCGGCAGGGCTTGGACCCGGGGCCCATACAGCTCTCTCCTCTGCAACACGAAGCAGCGGCCCTGCTGTTTATCTGCCGTTAAATCTGAGCCTGCCCGGATTCTCTGGCACAGCCACACAGCCTGATGAATTTGAACTTGCACCTCCTGCGAGGGGCTGAGATGAAAGGGCCATTTTCTCCTCTGTCTCATTCTAAGTCCATGCAGGCAGCAAGAGAGTCATTGATTTTTTTTTTTTTTTATCTTTTCAAATTTTTTTTTTCTGGCTGCAGCCAAATGAGGTCAGAAGTTAAATTAGTCCTCGGAGGGAGAAAGCAGTGGCATTCATATTCCCTCTTTCTGCTGACTTGAGCCGGAGAGCCCTGACGAGTTCCTTTTCCGGTCTGTATTGCAGATTCAATACAGGACAGGCTGGGAAGAGATCATCCGGCTGTGGAATCCCTGGGGCAACACGGAGTGGAGAGGGCGCTGGAGAGATGGGTATGGCTGGCGGGGAGGCTCCGGGGAAAGCCTTCGCAAGAACCCCTCCAGGCCAGAGCACCCTGTCCCTGAGGCAGCATATGTCCCACCTGCCTCGGGCCTGTTCACAGCGGGGTGTGGCCGTGGGGCCACCTCATGCTCCCATGATGCCATTCTGCCGGCATCTAGTAGGCACCTGTTGTGTACATTCTTCATGAAGTATGTGAGGTGGGTGCTTGGGGGAATATATGGATGACAAAACCTAGTGTCTCTCCCCCAGGAGGCTAGTCCAGAGCTGTGAATCCATGTACCCAGCACTGGTAAGGAGGGTGGGGACCAGGCCAGCAGCCAAGCCTTCACTTGGCCAAAGAGGTGGAGAGCAGGACCCTCAAGCCTGGGAGGGATCCTGTGGATCCTAATATCCCTCATGCCACTGGACCAAGGTAGAAAAGGCTGTGGATCCTAATACCCCTCATGCCACTGGACCAAGGTAGAAAAGTCTTGGGTAATTAGGGAAACTGAGGCAGAGATCTGGATGAGCAGCTCAGCTCAGAACGTCAGGCCTACCCACTGATCCAGACACCCACACGCCCAGTGACACCTCGCTCAAGGTGAGGGTGAGTGGAGTAAGCGGGTCTCTGATGTCCTGGTGGGGCCTGGCTGTGTGGTCAGTGGTTTCCCATAGGAGCTGAGCTGGCATTTCCCAGCTAGTACAGGACCCAAGCCCCGGCACCCCACCCCTTGCTGATTGAGAGTGGGAAGACGGCCCTGAGAACTCTCAAGGGGCAATGATGTTCCGTGTTCCTCTCAGGGGCTGCGAGGCTGGCCCTGTGGCATTTCTCTGAGCAGCTGTGCGGTCCATGCAAAGTGTGATGACAGAGTGGCCACAGCATTATCACGAGAAGCTGGGTGGGGGGCAGAGGATGATGAGAAAGGAAAAGCGATTTGTTCACACAAACGGAGCACAGGGCCCACCAGGCAGTGGAAATCGATACAGTGAACACGGTGCTTTTGGGAAGGCGGATACAGCCAGCCCATACTAAGCCCTGACATCCCTCAGGCTGCCAGACCGTAGCATGGTGCCCCCTCTCAGGCTGTGGCTGGATCACTCTGATTCTCCGCAACCTCCAATGGCTGGTGTGTGCCTGGCACACGTGGCCACTTAGCCAGTGTATGTGCTGGCTGAGGAGTGAAGAGAGGGGATAAGGGAGGAAACAGCAAAATAAATTTGTAGAATAAACCAGGGGGCTGTGACCTCAGATGCCTTTGGAGCACAGTGTAGCTGAATCCTCCCACAGAGGGAAAAGAACTGAGGAAACCATGAACCAATCAGGCCTGGACAATATTTATCTTACTGTCATCCTTTTTCTTTTTCTCTTGCCTCCGATCTCTCTTTCTTCCGGAGGTATCCTTTGCCTTTCCAATGTAAATTCTTGTAACCATGGCCAGAATCCATGACTTTCAGTTGGCCGCTCAGGGTAGAATCAGAGGGAAGGCCAATAGCTATGAAAGAGTCCCTAGGGTAAGAAAACAGATAATGAACTCACAAGAGTTGATATTTCGCCAGGTGTGATAGCATGCACCTATAATCCCAGCACTCGGGAGGCTGAGGCAGGAGGATCACTGCAAGTTCGAGACCTGCCTGGGCTACAAAGTGAGCTGAAGGCCAGCCTAAACTGCATGTCCCAAAAAGCCAAAAAAAAAAAAAAAAAAGCGTCGATATCTCACCCATTCTTCTATGCTAAACATCAAAGGATCAGTAATGGCAAAAAGGGACACCAGAGATCAGAGGAAGAAAGTGTTCCCTGGGTGGGCACGTTCAGCCACAGTGACACAGATGGGATGGATTGTTTGGGGGAGGGAGTGTGACACCCTTCAGAAGAGACACTAGGTAGGAGCAAAAGCATGGGCCATGATCCCTCGCCAGTAAAAGGCCTATCCTGCTCAGGGCCACCAAGCTGGCCTTGGACAGAGGAGTTGAAAAGAGAGGGTGGTGGTGCCGAGGGTCACCCACTTCCACCCACCTCCTTCTCAGGCTGGAAGGAAGCGGTGCGAACTGCATAATCACCGTCTCCATGCAGGTGGTCGATTTCCTCCCTGCTTTTTAGGAATGGAGATGAATGGAGAAAGCTGGATGGTCTAATCTCAGCCATAATTGAAATTTCAGGCGCACACACTTAAAGGCAAACTTGCATGAATCAATAGCATATTGATTTACACTACATTTATTTTCCCTTACATACTGCAGAAAATGTAATTATCGCTTAATTATAAAATTGCCATTTTACAATAACACATCTGACTGCCTCAGCCTGAAGCCGGAAGCCGGAATGGTGGTCTCTGCCTTGCTGTCTTAGCACAGAGGTGACCAGGCTCTCAATTCGAGCTCCTCCATGGAAAAATCTCATTAAACTTTTGTGCCTCTGGGGCCCATTGCCTTGACAGCGTGCCTGCATTTTAAAGAGCAGACTGAGGGAGAGGCCTCCTCATGGAAGCTAGGACGAGCTTCTGGAACACAGCATCCCAGTGAAATGGATAGCATTCATTAACAGACTGGCAGAAAGTCTTTGTGGGCCAGCTCTTTGCGAAGACATGTGCTGGTCATTTTGATGATACAATGGAGAGCAATGCTCCTCAGCTCAGTTGGCACTCGGGAGCCCAGAGAGGGGTAGCAACAAACACAACAGCTACACAGGGCGCTGAGTGCTGAGACAGAAGTGTCCAGGGAGCTCTGTGTGCTCTAAGGAGGGCTCCTGCTCCAGGTGTGGGGCAGGTGGATGTAGGAGGCCAAGTAAAGCTTCCCGCAGGAAGTGCTCTTTAGGAGAAGAGGAGTAAGAGTTAGTAGGTTAAAGAACTGAGAGGAACACAAGTATTCTAGACGGAAGGGCATCAGTATTCATCAGAATGACAGCCACGAGGTGGTATGTGGGGCATCTTTAAGGAAGTGAAGACCTTCAGGATGGCTGGAGTATGGAATTCAGTGACCAGGGTGGGGTGGGAAAGTGTCCAGGTCAAGCTGGAGAAGTAGGCACAGGCCTAGGTTTTCTTTAAGGAGTTTGAACTTCACTCTCTCTTGAGAGTAACAGAACCATGGAGATGATTTAAGCAGGGAAATGACATAATCCAGTTTGTGTGTCAGAGAGATCATTTTGATGGCAGTGTAGAGAATGCCTGGGAAAGCAGGTAGGACTGGCTGGGTTTAGGGTAACCAGCTGGGGTCCAAGAGGGAGAAGAAGGTGAGTGGAACTAGAATAGCAGAAGTAGGCATGGAAATGAGTGGAGGCTGTGATGGGGATTTACAGGAGGAATCAGGGAGGGTAAGTACTGGCTGACTGGCTGGAGGTGGTACAGTGAGAGAGACTTCTTCTCTTCTGTCCGGGCAATGGGAGCAGGTAGAAGACAGGTGACTTGAGGTCACTTTGGGACTCGAGTGGAGATGTGGGATGGACTATAGATTTGTCTTGAATTCGGGAAATAGGGGTAAGGTGGGGAAAGGTGTTTGGAAGGCATTAGCATGACTGAGGCGGAGGAATTTAGTGACTTGAGCCTTGTCCCCAAGTACAGTGATACTCTATTTATCCCCAGGAACTAGCAGTGGCCATACAAGGAACCCCTACTGGAGCACAGGTGGCTGAGCTGAAACTCTCTGGGCCGTGCCACACTATGCTTTGTTTCTCTGTGTTCAGGTCCCGGGAATGGCAAGAAACCCAAGACCCACGGAAAAAGCTGTTGTACCACAACAAGGAAGATGGCGAATTTTGGTATTTGCCCTTTTAAAAAATGGTGCTTTAAATCTTTATTGTCCAAGCTTTCAATCCCCACTCCTTTTCCTAAACTTTTATGAGGATGGAAATAAGCATTGCAGAGACCTCCATAGACAGATACTATTTTCTCTAGCAAGACAGACTTTGGATGGAAAATTGTGCCCCCTCTGGGTAAAAAAGTTGTCTTGGATTTTCCCATACATTCTGATGATAAAAGGGAATGCTAGTATCAAAGGTTGGAGAGAAAACAGTTTTTTGGAAACCAGGGGATATGGGTGTCATGCCCATATCTTCCATGCCATTTTTATGGGACTCTAGCTCTGCCGTCTCCTCTGGAGTGAATCTACAAAAAAACTCTAGAGTTCTGGGTGGGGCATTACTTTCATCACCCAGAAGTCATTCAAGACTAGATGACTACTTGTTTTAAAAAGGAAGTACTCGGGCCGGATGTATAGCTCAGTGGCATGGTGCTTCCTTGGCAAGCATGAGGTCATGAGTTTGATTGCCTGTACCAAAAAAAAAAAGAAAAGAAAAGAAAAGAAAAAGAAATGCTCATCTATATGCACACATGTTAGAGGAGGAAATAGACATTTCTCTGTAGAGTCATCTGATTTACTTACTGTCATGTTTAAATGAAACTAAAATATGTATGAAATGGATCCTGGGTCTAAGTTATTAAGAATTAGAGAAACAAATGTAAATTAGAAAGAAAAATATTTCCAGTATCTCTACTTTCATCATAGCAGGAGGTAGGGCTTTAGGTGTAGAATACACTTTGCTTTTATAAAGATCTCAACAATAGATTGGCAAATGGGCTTAGAGAAGGGCTAGCATAATGGTAGCATCAGGACCCAGAGAAAGAGAGAGGCTGGCTATAGTCCACTGACTACGGGAGGGCTCACAGATTACTGGTGCAGGAAAGTGGATAATGATTAAGCCTCTGCCAGGTTACATGAAAAACCCAGAATTTGACTCTGCCATTGTCCTTTCAACCGCTAAAAAGAGGACTGAGAAAGCAGAAGGTTGCTTGATGCTGAAGGAGCCAAAGTCATGCCCTGATCTTTGGATAGGTCAGTCAGTGAAGAGGTTAGCTGACCCTGAAAAGGTACCGTGAAATGATGAGATCCCCCCACCTGGGGACACAATCAGTGGTCATTAAGTGACTTGTATCTGTGTATCTGTTTTCAACAGGATGTCATGTCAAGATTTCCAAGAGAACTTCTTCTCCCTGTTCATATGTAACCAAATCCCCATCACCTTGGACCACGGACTCAGGCCCCATGAAAGATGGTGCCCAATGATATTTAAGAACCAAGTGATTCTAGGAAACAGTGCGGGTAGGTGTAACATTGGTGACACTTCTGCCAGACCAGAAGCTGTCATCAGCCTCCCTGCTCTTTAGTAAATACCCATGGCAGTGGGAGGGCTGTGGGAAGAGCACTGGACAAAGGTCAGCACCGTTGGCTTTGTCACACCCTAGTTTTGTGACTTTGGGGTATAGCTGTCTCTCTGTCTTCATCTTCCCCAGTTGTGGACTTAATAATCCCTGTCTGCCCCTTGGGCCCACAAAGTGCCACCTAGATGCCAAGGACAATCATCCTTCCCCGTGCTGGGGGGAGGCAGCAGCGTAGGCATGTCTGAGCCTGTCACAGGGCTCCTTGAAATGAATCTTGTTGACTGTGTCCTCCAGAGAGTCACCTTCCCTCATGTACCTCCTGCATGCTGCTTGTGACATTGATGAGTGAAACTGCTCCCTGTGGAGTTGAACCTGAGCGTGCTAATACATCCTAGATAAAAGAGGCTGTAAAAACATTCTTGTGTGTGCAAGTGCATATATATGTACATTTACACCTAGACATACACATACATTTCCCCAACCACCCGCCTGTTGAGACTGGTTGTCGAATGACTCCTGGACTCCAGGGTGTCCCTCTTTTCCACCTGCAGACTCTCATGATTGCTCAGCTACAGAGAGAGACTGGTCACCAGGAAGCCACAGGCAGGCACAGGAACTGTCACATCACTCTAAATGATGCATCTCCTGAGCTGTGCCTATCTGACTGTATAGCTGAGATATAATGCATATCAATGAACTAACCAAAATTATACATTGGGGCCAGTGTATAACACCTTACAAGAAAGAGGAACAGGCGCCAGAATTGAGCACCTGCTAAGGGCATTTGAATGCATGGTCTTCTCCAGTTCTCATAGAAAGCCCATCACCTTGACAGTCCGCTGTCTCCCCAGTCCCTTTCAGAGCATCCCAGTACAACTCAAACCTTCTGGTGTGCATCCATTTATCTCTATCCTGACTTATTCCTTCGTGGATTCAAATCTAACAGTTTCCACATGAGTTCTTTGTCTGTTGCTCTGGTTTTGACCAGCAGGCTGAGGGTAGAGGAGCACTGCACATGGCTATCTCTCTTCACATATCTTCACTGGTCCTTGGGCAGCTGATGTCACTCAAGCCTCTGATGGTTACCGCAAGGGCATTGGTCATATACACCTGGGGATCCTGGAACTGCACTTGTTATTAAAATAGCCCTTGACTTTACAGATAGTTACGGTACAGATCTGAAATGCTCCCAGAAGTCCCCTGTGTCTGCAGTGTGATTGGATCATGGGGGCACTCTTCTCCTCAGTGGATTCGTCCATTGGTGCCTCCAGTAGCTCATGTGCTGTGAGGAGGTGGAGCCTGATGGATGATGGGCCACTGGGGCCATGACCTGGGAAAGTGAATTCATATAGCTCCTCCTTTCTCTCTGCTTTCTGCCTGCCATGGATTGAGCACCCTTTCCTCTGCCAGGCCCCTCTGCCATCTTGTTTCTGCTATGGAGCCAGCCAGCCATGGACTAAAACCATGACCCAACATAAACCTCTTCTCCTTTTAGTTGTGGTGTCAGATACTGTATAGTATCCACAGGAAAATATCTAAAACACAAATTAAGAGACATTTTCATCAAGTAGGGACTATACTCTTCTTCCTGGTTTTAAGAGGGAGAGACCAGGGCTTAGAAAGTAAAGAAGCTTGTACCATAACTAGTAACCATGAGGTGGGCACCACGGCCTTAGGTCTCCCAATCCAGAGGCAATATCCTAGCCCTGCAGGGCTCTCCAAACTAGACATGATCCCAGTGATGGCCTTTTCTCATACAGGAGAACCCGGGAGGAATGCTCGGTACCTCTTCAGTGTACGAGAGTCCCAGGGAGGCGACAATGTTGTTGTGTCCTTCACTGTCACGCCACAGGGCTTGAAGGCAGAAGAGGAAGCATTTCCCTTGAGCTTCCAGGTTATTAAGGTAAGGCTGCCTGCCTCGGGGCTCGTTGTTTTCGGACTCTCGTGCACACCTTGGGCTGGAGAGAAAAGTCTGCTAGGCAGAAATATTTGAGTGTACCAGAGCTTGAAGATAAAACCCAAAGGGTCCGTAGTGTTTATCTGTCCAACTATAAGTTTGCAAAAAAAAAAAAAACCTAAAACTAGAGAGATTAGACTTGACCATGTTGACAGTGGGACACATCTCCTGCCTCTGTCACTTGTCAGCTTTTCCACGAATGCTGCACAATTTAATGCCAGTACCTTGAAAAGTAGCCTGGTCCAAGACAGGCTGTTTTAACTATGCACATTCTTGGGCCTTCCTTAGTCAGAATCTGCAAGGACAGACCCTAAAAGTCTGCATTTTAACAAGCTCCCCAGGGGCTGCTTATGCATGTTTGAGAATCATTGGTTAAACTTTGGGGAGGTATTTAGGTTTTTTTAAAAAACTGACAAGTATAAATCTGAGAGCTGTGCTGGGTCAGCTACTCTGTCCCTCCCAAAAAATGAATGGGTCAGGTACCAACAGTTCTCTTAAGAATATCTCAGCCAACTCTTCTTTTTCTTTATGTGAGACAGAGAAACTCTGGGAAGGTCTGGGGACACATGGCTCCCGGGGAAACTGTTCACATTGTTGTCCTTTAGCCTGGGGTCTCTGAGCGGGCAGAATGTGTTAACTGATTTGCCCTGAGCCTTCACAGTTCAGAAGCCCTAGGATTGTAATTGTACCCATTTTAAAAATACTACCAAGCCCACTTCTCTCCTTTTCACTAGAGATGCAGGATTCCTTAGCTGCCTATTTACTACAGGAGTGCTTAGACCCAAGGTCTTCTCAGGGTCCCTGCAGATCCCAGCAGATCTTGCAGGATTCTTGTTGAGTTAAACATCAGAGAACTGACTTCGACAACTCAAAAGTCACATGGGCTCTTTTTGCAGTTCAGCTGAGAAATAGACTCTAGCTGTACCAGCAGCCAGGCTTTTGTGAGTCCCTGGGGCTCTGTGTACAGTGCTCCCCCAGCTGAAATGGGGCTCCAGCCCTAGTGCCGTGGAGCACTGCTCTGCCTTCCTGCAAACCAAATCCTGGGTGTGTATGATCAGGTAGGGAGAGGTCGGGACGATTCGTGAAGTCTTTTCACGTGGTGGTCCCCGTGGAAAAGAAAGCAATCCCACATCAGCTGGGGAAGGCAGGGCCTGATGATGTGGGGAAGCAACACAGGTTGTCCTATTCCCCACTCTGCTACCTGAACCGCTGCGCTTCTGTTTCCACACTCACAAAACAGGATGTCTGCTTGCAGGAACAGCGTGAATATCCAGCACTGTACATGCAAGTGCTTCGCAAACAGTAGAGGCGTTTAGAAATGAAACTGCATCCTCAGTGCTTCTTGCCACCACATGGAAAAGTGGAATATAGCTATTTCCTCATTCATCTGCACACATACGTTCCTGCAAGCACCACGGGACCTAGAACAAATCCTCAGCATAAGTACAGTCTGAGGGAACCGCTCAAGGTCTCAACACAAGAAATTTACACTGGACTGAGGCTCTGTCTTATCTCAAGCCCCGGCCACGTCTCCCCGTCACTGCCAAAGTTACCCTCACTGCTATGGACAGGAACCACTGGTTGCTGTGGGACAAACGGGGCACCTCCCCTCTCACACACCTTCTTTCGCTCTCCAGTTCCTTCCTCTTCTGCATCCAGGTAAGGCAGTAGGGCTCCTTTTCACAACTCTGCCCTGGGAGTGAGTACTTATCCTCCCCCTCACTGTGTGCCAGGAAACGGGGATGACCACCCAAGAGGAAGGAGCACAAGGTCCCAAGCCAGGCTGACGGCACTTGCTCCACTCTCTGTTGTGGTCCTGACCCAGCTTTCTTCTTCTGCCCCACAGGTTGACGCTCAGGTATGGCTCACCACCTTTTCCTGCCTCTGCTGCTGCCTCTTGGTACAATGTCAAGACTCTTCCAGCACCGGGAACTCCACACACTCCAGGCTGCAAACTCAGTCCTGCTAGGTCTTTTGTCAGAGACAGGATTAGCCTTTCAAGCAGAAACAAATAAAAAAATGTTTAGTTGGCCTGGTCTAAGGTTAGACCCCTTGGAAGCTCTCCTGTTTAACATTCAAGAGGAGCTGCAGTCCTCAAGCATTTGGTCCTTGACAGAGAAGATTGATAGATTTGGTTTCTGTGTATATAAGATGAGAGTAGCACTAAGGGGCCCCTACGAGGACCTGCAGCTTCCAGAGTTAGTCAGCCTTCAAATCCACACTCAGCTTTAAGGCACATCCTCTGGGTCCGCTGACAAGCAAATTGCCACTGCTCCTGAACCACTAACCTGATCCAGCTTTGCTGAAACTTAAATCTATGAGGAGGAATAGAGAAAGACATGAAATTCAGAAAACCCGACCTCACAGGCACTCACCTCCCATGGCTATGGGAGTCCAGCCCTATCTCTACCTACTAGAGAGACCTCTGACATATGAGGTAGAGGGTAGAGTAGGCAGGAGGGGAGCAGGGTGTGGCCACAGCCAACAGATGGTGACCATAGCCCCTCCAGGCTACCCAAGGGGCCTCTTAGGTAGACCAAGGCCAGGAAAGGAGTCTCAGAGCAGGAAAGACTATGAAGTCTGCAGAGCTGGGAGAAAAGTAACCATGGGTATGGAACTTCAGCAAGGGCTTTGAGGGAAGTGATGAGGTGCAAGAACTGGGCTGGCGCTCCACTTCCCAGAGCTGCAGAACAGGGTGGGGACTTGGCCCAGGAGGAGGCACAAGCCCCATTCCATAGAATGACAATCAGCTCTGTGCCCAACCAGCGCTGTTTATCTTGAAGGAGGCTCCTCTGAGTGCTGGACCAAGACATTTTACCACCACACACACACACACACACACACACACACACACACTTCTCATTGCCACTGAACAAGCAGGTTCTGAAGCATTAGGAGCTTGGACAGGGCTGTGAGGGTCTCACGGAGGAAGGAGAGCAGGGAAGTAAGGCTGTTCTCAACTCCTAGGCTGTAAGAGGTCTGTTGCCCTCACACTGCTGCATGCAGAGTCTTAGCTCGAGCCACAGGACACAGCTGAGTCTCTGAACGGGAGCTGGTCCCACTACAGCATCTGCCAGAAGGGCTCCAGCACATCCAGCTCCAAACCCATGGGCCCGCTGTTACCAGCAGAACAGCTTTGCAGGTTCCAGCCAGCCCTCTGCTGTATACCTGGAGCTGTGACCTATGTCCTGATTCACCTGGGAGCCCAGCCCTGTGCCTACCCTCTACAAAAAATATTCCCCTTTCCCATTTTCCCCGCAAGGCAAAGCCCATAAATAATCATTTCATGCTGTGTAACCATTCTAAATGGAATCCCCATCCTCAACTGTAGCAGGGGAAAATTTGTTTAGTAAGGGGTTTTCATTATGTAATATATATGTGACATCTTGTAATAAGAACTGCATTATATTTATTGTTTTATCTCTAAGAAAATATCGAAATAAAAGGAAAATGATCAGGGGCTATTATTTTCCAATGAGAAAGAATCTCAGGGCTCTGTTAGCAGAAACAGAGCGAGTGGGAAGAATTCAACACCGTAATGCTATGGCAGCCCAGAGTACTGCACAGGTGTAGAAGGGGCTTGGAGGACCCAAAAGAAAGTCAGTGCTGGAACAATGTCACCAGTTCCCATGGAGATCTTAACATAGAAGCAGAGAGAGAGAG